AGATGCAGTTGCACGGTATTGCAAATCTGTGTAGTTAGTGTGTTCCTCCCCTTGTCCTTGTCCTCCTGTTCCCTCCCTCCTCTCCCTCCTGACCCCCTTCTTGCATAGGATCGCGCTGATGTATTGCCTACCGCCGCCCACCACTGCTCAATTCAGTGGCCGTGCTCTGGCGCGCATGCACTTAGCTTGCATATGTTCATATTTTTCGTGGCCTCCAATATGATACGATTGTCTGCCGATGCGCCGTCTAGGCGCGGCTTCTTCCAGTCCAGTCCAGACGGCCCGAGACGGCCCAAGAGCCCCCAAAGATCGCCACAAGATCGCCCAAGAGGCCTCCAGGATGGCCCCAGAACAGCCCAAAAGCCACCCAAGACGGCCCCAAGAAGGCCCAAAGACGGCCCCAGAGGCCTCCCAGACGCCCAAGAAAGCTTCGACGGCCCTGGAGCATTCCAAGAGGGGCCCCAAGTCGGCTAAGAGATGTTCCCAATACGGCTTCCGACGGCGGACGGGCCAGGAGCCCACCAAGACGACCAAAGAGGCCCCCGAGAAGTCCACGAAGGCCCCCAAGAGGCCTCCAAAGGGGCCCCCAAGATGCCAGGCTTCCAAGAAGCTCCCAGGAGGCCCCAAGAGTGTCCCCAGAGGCTCCAGAGATGCCCCCTTCTCCTCCTCCTCCTCCGCCTCCTCCTCCTCCTCCTCCACCACCTCCTCCTCCTCCTCTTCCTCCGCCTCCTCCTGATCTTCCCCGCTATCCTCACCAAAATGTTCCCCGAAGGGTTTCCGCAACGGTTGTGGGCACACGTTGTCCGATAGCTAGGCTGAGCTCTTGCCACAACGCTCGGCCACATGGGCGTTTCTAGAAGGCAGGGGCGGCGGTGATTCGCCGTAGGCTTCTTCGATCACCAGGCTCCAGTATACCGAAGAGTGCTCATGCGGCTCCGCGACAGCACGCCCGCTGAAGATGGGTTTGAGCCAACAGCTAGGCAGGACATAGGCTCGGGGCTTGTCCTGGGTCTTCAGCGGCTCGCTGGAGACAGCGGCAGGCAACAACCATAGATGAAGTTAGCCAGGCGGAAGAACACGAACGGCTAACACCAGCTTCTGAAGCAGAGACTCGAACATATGTTTCTACTGTACACCTTGCCGCGCGCCAGAGTTCTACACAGTCAACGGACGCATGACTGAGTTGGTCTCACGCTGTCCCTGGGCGCGTGGCTAACATGGGATCCCAGGGTGCGGTTTCTTGCGCTCGTTGCTGGAAACGCACTCCGAGACAACTTCCCGGGGACGTGCACAACCCGCTCAAAACACGGGGCGACTATGAAGAAACAGGGCCGCTCAACTCAGAGCAACACGGTGAGGGCTCTGCAGTATCCTTGAACGCTTCGCCAAAGAACGACGGACCACCTCCGAATCCCGAGGTCCCGACCGGAGCCTGGCCCTCCGCTCCGCTGGAGCTCCCAGGAGCCCACAATCACGGCGACAAAAACTTGTGCAGTTGGCGGCCCGCTCCGCCCTGCGAGGCCCCGACGGGCTGCGCGTGGCCCTCCATCCCGCGGACCTGCCCAGGCGCCGACGAACGTGGCGACGGTGGCGCCTCTGGCAGCCCTCGAGAACCCGCGAGGTCCTGACCGGATGCGCGCGGACCTCCGCGGCGCTGGACTCCCGAAGCTCGCGAGGGTGGCGACGGTCGGGCCGGGCGAAAGGGGGGGACAGCAAAGGGGAGGTTTGAGAATCGGCTCACGTAGCTGAGTTTCCCCCGGCGCCGGAGGCGGCCATGTATCGAGGAATGGGCCCCTCGGCGGGGCTGAAACCAGCTAGCTGCATGCAGCAGATTTCGTAGCCCCCCCCTTTCCCTATCCCCCCCCCCTTTCGTCTGGCCCGAGACGGTTGCGCAGTTGGCAGCCCCGCCAGGGAGCTGCGTGGTCTGGGGTCCCACGCCGCCGGGCCACCCCCGGGGCGAGCGAGCAGCGAGGACACTGGAGGCGAGACAGGGGCAAGGGGAGAGAGAGGAGGGAGGAGGAGGAGGAGGAGGAGGAGGAGGAGGAGGAGGAGGAGGAGGAGGATGGTAGGATAGACAGCACCTCGGAAGATGTCGGAAGGTGAACGCACCAAGCGCTGGGCATTGAATCGGCGAGTTCATCCCCTCTTTAGCTTTGATTCTGGCTGCTACGGCTGCCATTCTCTGCTCTTGCTGGGGGCTTCTTGGTCACTGCTAAACACTTCGGGGGACGGCGGTGGTGACACTGGCATTCGAACGAGCACTGGCCATGGTCGCACTCAGCCGAACAATTCGACAGAGCTTTATCAATCAGCTCCCGCATCTTGTGGTTCGGCCCTAAACCACGACGAAAATTGCTCAACACCTCAGCCCGTTTCTTAGTGAGTTTCTGGCAGAACTTACCAAGCTTAAGCGTCCTCCCTTGTGCCCCCCCCGCGTTTCAGACAGAATTAATGTTGCTCTTTTACCTCAGTCGCACCAAATGAACCGACAGGCCCATGGCGGGCCCCACTGACCCGTTTAAGAGCCTGGCCCGACACGGCGACGAGGGCATGACCTTCCGGACCTTCGAACAATTTCCTAACATATGGCGGAGTCCCTTGTCACCCGCCCTGCGCACGAATCTCCGACTCACACACACTCAAACAGTTAGTACATTGCATCCCCAACTCTGTGCGATTCCACGGGTGTCTGCTCAACTTACGGCAGGACTAAATTCGGATCTGATGTGAGCACGTTGCCACGGCATCTTATTCGAAAAGCGGTAGCGTGTCACAAGCAGCACGTATAAACGCAACTGCACGAGCCTGCGCAATATCAATCGCCGACAAAAATTCTGGATCGGCGGTGAGATGATTCGAGAGAGCGAGCTTCGCATGATTATCTACTACATTGTGGCGACACTCATCGCCTTGTAGTTTTTGTCCAACTCTTCTTCGCTACGGTGAGCTTTAACGTGAAGGCCTCTGGAAATGTGGTACCTTCGAGCTCAAAAGCAAACTTGCTTAAAAAACCCGGCGAACTTATTGGCTGGGCTCATAAGAGGACTCGGGTAGGCGATCGACTACAAAACAAATGGTTTTTCCGGTCGAACCTTCGAAACGCTACTTCATGGGGAAAACGAGACTGCGCTCGGTCCCCTACTCGTAACCAGCCTCGAACTTATCCCTATCCCTAAGATGGGCGAGCAAAAAGCGAGGACAATCTTAGGGATGTGCCCTCAGAAACTGAGGGAATCCTTAAGATCGGCATCGAGGTGAGGTGATGCCAAAGTCAGGGAGAAGGATATGTTTCAAACTGGTAAACTCGAAGGACGGGCCCACGCAGACAGTACGAGACCTGGCCCCCCCTTGTGGGGTGCTGCCAAGACTTGGCGCTGCAGCCGGCCCCCAGTGCCACCGATGGGGTCCCGGAGGTCCGCGCGGATTTCTCGGATCAGCGCTGGGGCCCCCCGGCGGCGCCTCCAGCGCCCTCCCGGGCGCGCTCTGCGCGCCAGGGAGGGGGGTCCAGCGCCGATCCGAGAACTCCGCGCGGACCTCCGAGTTCTTATGTTTATGTCACTTCTTGTTCCCCCCGGGAGTCGACTACACGCAAGAGTGACCCTGGGCAAGAGAGACCTTTGGTGCGCGGCTTCTTGGGGGCCGCGGGAGGGACCCCAACGCGAGCGCGCGAGACGCACCTACCGCATCGCGTCCGGCGATCGGGGGGCCCCGTTGGGCCCGCACCAAAGGTCACTCCGGCGAAAGGTCACTCTTGCGTCTAGTCGACACGAGTGCGGCTGCCTGCGGTCCCTGCGAGAGGAGCCCTCCCCCTGCCGGGGGCGCTGCCAGGCGCAGGCGGCCGGCCTGGGCCCTGGGCCCCTGGGGGCTCCGACGGCTAGCGCGGGTGGCCCACACGGAGGCGCCACGTACGAGAGCCCTGCCCTTCCGGGGTGCCCCTGCGGAGGGCCATGCTCTCCCCCGCCCTCCCTCCCCCTCCCTCCCTCCCTCCCCCTCCCCCTCCCTCCCTCTCCCCCTCTCTCCCTCCCTCCCTCCCCCCTTCCCTCCCCCCCCCCCCCCCCTGGGGGCTGCCAAGCGTGCAGCTGTGGCCGCTCTCCGCTGCCCCTGGGGGGGTCCACGTGGAGTGCGGCCCCTGTGCGGACTCAGCGAGCCCTCTCCTCTCCGGGGCGCTGCCAGGCGTATGCTGGCTGTCCTGGAATCCTCGGGGGGACCAGGACACAGTGCTGCCAGCCGTGGGACTGGAGTGCGGGTCCACGCGCACCCGCCCCTGGACGCTGCCAAATGCCTCGGGCGAGCTGGGCACGTCCCATCCAGTGATTGCACTGAGGAGCCCGTTTTGAATGTCTGGTGAGGTGCCCGGGGCGGTCGGTATTCTCAGTGCCATCTAACGGCACTGGGCGGTGCGCGTCAGACGGTCAAACCCAAAGGCTCCACTACATAAGGTTCCACTCCTCACATGGGGTCCATATGGTTTTACTCGTTTGTGTGTGATGGGGAGTTCGTTATCAAAAACAATTTGCGCAACCACTGCGCAACCCATGGCACAAGCCGTGGCACAATCCCCGTTGCACAACCTGTGAAATCGCGTTCGTCGATGACCTGTAGTATCGATCCCCAGCCCCCAGGTTGCACTGTTATGTTTTTTGTGCAAAATATATAGTGGATCGCATGTGTTGCTACCGTGGATGGTACCACATAGATTTCATCGAATACTTGGCACCGCCTAGACTGCACCATACATATTGAACGGCATACATCGCATCGCAGATATTGCGCCTTGTAGGTTGCACCGCATAGATGGCACCACACAGATTGCACCGCATGGGTTGCACCCCATATGTTGCACCGCGGATGCTGCACTTGACAGAATGGATGCATACATTGCGCCGCATAACTTGCACTGCATATGTTGAACCACATAAAGTACGCCTCTCACTTTGCACAGAGCCGATGTTTGGGGTCCACACGGGTATCACTTTTTTCTGGCCAGCACCAACTACAAGTCATAAAACCTCTGCCTGCGCGGCATTGGAAAAACAGTGTTTCGTGTCTGCCCGGATCGGCTCACCATAGCCAACAGCGCACTCGACGAACGCTCCGTTCTGCACGACGAAATGACCGTTCACAAGCACGTGAACGATGCCCGAGGAAGGAGTTGCTGCGCTCTGGAATGTGGCATTGTCTGTGATGTGATCGGGGTCGAATACACAAATATCAGCGTCACAACCCTCTTGTATGCGAGCCTTTGCTTTGAACGCTGAGCAAATCGGCTCCAGCTTTTTTGCGGGGCCCAGAGTCATCTTGCGAATGGCTTCCATCAGCGAGATGAGCTTCCTTTCTCGCACGTAGACTCGCAACACACGGCTAAAGCAGCCTGCACTCCTGGGATGCCCTCGGCCTTCTTCGTCAAATGGAATTGCATCTGAAGCAATCAAGCATCTAGGATGTTGCATACACAAATCGACGCTGGCATCGGGGATGGAATGGATGCAAACCAGTCCCGTTGCAGCGCGTTTGGACAAAAAATCAGCCTCATCTTTGAGGCGCTCGCCAGTTCCGATCCACTCCACGTCGCTGTAATCAATACCCAACCTCTCCCGCCAACCATCATTGAATACCCCGCTTTCCAATCTTGTCATACCAGCGGTGTAAGGATACTGTTCACACGTGATGTCTGCCGCATTTCGCTCGTTCAACCTATCAATCATTTCTAGCGTCAGCGGCAGATTAACGTTGTTGCCAGTGCTTGAGGCAATGTGGCAAACAACAAGGGAAGCACCAGTGGCTGCAGCATCAGCAAAGACCTCGTGCATGTCTGAGAGCTGCCGCATCTCACCGCGATTGTGCACAAAGACGACGCATTTCCTCCTTGCGGCCATCTCAAAAACACGGTATACCTCTTCGTGGTCAGCTTTCTCGGTATACGCGATGCCCATGCCAATGCCTAAGCCTCCCTGGTCAAGCGAGGCCTCGATATTTGCCAAGATCTGCTGCACATCGTCCCGCGTGGCAACAATCTGATGCGACGGCGCGCCACAGCAGGCGCACCCCAAAAGCAAGTGGGGATTGCAATTAACGAGGCCTTGGGCGTCCAGCCCGCGAGATCTTCGCAACTCCTCTCTGCGTGCACGCTTGTCGGGGGGCTCGTCCGGCACAGCCGCATTCTCATCGCACTCGAACGCGGCGATTCTTGCCATGATGTGTCCAGCGGATGCACCATAGTGAATCACAGCACCACCTTCCCTCGCTACCCTGTCATACCATGCCTCCACAGGGTGGTGACCGAATTCGAGCTCCAAATGCATTGTGACGCCATCCATGACTTGGATTCGTGCCGAGGGCCTGTGGCCTGAGCTGTGGGCATGGGTGTCGATGAACCCAGGACACACAACCAGACCAGTGCAGTCCACACGGCGCTTGCTCGGCAACTCCTCTGCAGAAACAGGAACAACTCGCTCGATACGCGTCCCTCGCAACGCAACGTCCATGACATCGTCAGTCCCTGTCTCTGGGTCTATGACTCGACCACCGGCCAACACAATATCGAACGGCTCCCGCATCGCCTGTTCACTATCCATGAACCTTGAATGACACGTTGGTTACTGGTTACACTAAGGATCTTGGGCCAACATGGCTCCAGAAATGGGACGGTGCAAAAAGCGAGGAGGAAATGAGCAAAAGGAAGGAACAAGAAAATGAGCAGGACTCACCTGGGAACGAAAGGAGGGAGAACGAGCAGGGGGCGGAGGAGGAAAGAGGGGGGCGAGGATTAAACAGAGAACGGATACGGACGAACATAGTATGAGAACGACATGGGAGGACGAGGAGAAGGAGAAGGAGGAGGAGGAACGAGCTACGACGAAGAGCAGCACAAGGCAGAGTTACGCAAAGCAGCGCTTGTGCAAAGCAGATGGCGCTCGCGCAAAGGGCGTACAAAAAGACGTACCCAATCCATCTGCAATCAGTAGCAACATCAACGAGCCCATCCTGAATGAATGGTGACATGACAGTGCAGTGGGTCCCCTGTGAAACCTGCGTAATAAGCCTACGCGTTGCGCGCACCATGGATCTGGCATGGGGCAACACTTAAGGATGACAAGTAGAAGGGGGACCAACAACGTGGAAGATGAGGAGGGGGAAGGAGGGATGGGGAGGAGGAAGAGAAGGAAGGCGAAGAAGAAAACTCGCGTTGCGCGTGGTTTGTGCCGTGCTGAATGGTCAGGAGGATGAAAAAGGACGAGTTCATTTGCGAACCAATTTGCGCGCAGTGCGTTACGCGTATGCGGATAGACACTACGGGTCCACGGAGCGCGGGCTATCATCTGCGGCCCTTCTACTGCATTATGTGCGTCCTACTCTGTGCAACGCCTCCTGGAAATCTGTCTCGCCAGAGAGCTACTCCTTGAGAGCTGAAAACAAGTCATGCAGGCATGGCAGTCGCGGCCTGATCGCCATAGAATTCCTGCCTCGCGTGAGCACGCTTGAGGCTGCGTGGCATGGGCTGGTAGTGCAAACTCGAATCGAGCGTCGGAGGAATACGTTGCTGGCCACAGCATGCCCTTGCTTGCGCCCCCACCATCTACCATGACGGCGTCATTGGCACTCACAGCGCCACGTGCTCCTACCTCCCTCACAATGGCGGAGGTCTGCTCGAGCTGGTGGAAGCTGCCCGTCAAGCGAGTGCAGGCTGCGCGAAACTTGTAAATTTAGGTCGGGCATGTCCCCCTGCAGACGGATTTTGGAGGACAAATGAAAAACAGCAAACACATATTCAAACATAGCTCCAAACCATTATGTGGTGTTGGGTTCTCGTGTTGAAGAGACAGCGCCCCGCGTTCTCCTTCCCCCTCTCCTCCTCCTCCACCTCCTCCTCCTCCTCCTCCTCCTCTTTCTCCTCCTCCTCCTCCTCCTTCCCCTATCCTCCATCCTGCTCGCAGTCGTGCTGACTTCATCCCCCATCCTGCTCCATTCCGACACACCCTCACACGCTTCGTGGCCCCATAGGGAGCTCCACCAAAGGACCCATATGCAGAGTTCTCATGCGTCCCCCCCGCAAATTCCGGCACACCCCTCACACACTTCGTTGCCCCATAGAGGGCTCCACCGAAAGGCCCCAGGGGCAGGGTTCGCATGCGTCCCCCCAGCGAATTTGGGCACATCCCTCACACGCCTCGTGGCCCCCATAAGGAGCTCCAACGAGGGCCCCAATGGCTGGGCTCGCATGCGACCCCCAGCCCATTTCGGCACACCCCTCACACACCTCGTGGCCCCATAGGGAGCTCCACCGAAGGCCCCAGTGGCAGGGTTCGCATGCGCACCCCCGCCCATTTCGGAACACCCCTCACACGCGTCGTGGCCCCATAGGGAGCTCCACCGAAGGCCCCAGTGGCAGGGTTCGCATGCGCCCCCCCGCCCAATGTCGGCACACCCCTTACACGTTTCGTGGCCCCCATAAGGAGCTCCACCGAAAGGCCTCAGTCGCAGGGTTTGCATGCGTCGCCCCGCCCATTCCGGCACACCCCTCACACGTTTCGTGGCCCCATAGGGAGCTCCACCGAGGGCCCCAATGGCAGGGTTCGCATGCGTCCCCCCGCCCATTTCGGCACACCCCTCACACGTTTCGTGGCCCCATAGGGAGTTCCACCAAAGGCCCCAGTTGCAGGGTTCGCATGCGTCCCCCCGCCCATTTCGGCACACCCCTCGCATGCTCGTGGTCACATAGGGAGCTTCCCCGAAGCCCTGTGGCAGGGTTCGAATGCGTCCCCCCGCCCATTTCGGCACACCGCTCACACGCTGCGTGGCCCCATAGGAAGCTCCACCGAAGACTCCAATGGCTTGGCTCGCATGCGTCCCCCCACCCATTTCGTCAAACCCTCACACGCTTCGTGGCCCCCATAAGGGGGCTCCACGGAAGGCACCAAACGGCAGGGTTCGCATGCGTCCCCCCGCCCATTCCGATACACCCCTCACACGCTTCGAGGCCCCATAGGGAGCTCCACCGAAGGCTCCAGTGGAAGGGTTCGCATCCGTCCCCCGCTCATTGCAGCAACCCCCTCACACGATACGTGGCCTCATAGGGAGCTCCACCGAAGGCCCCAATTGCAAGGTTCGCATGCGTCCCCCCGCCCATGTCGGCACACCCTTCAAAAGGCTTCGTGGCCCCATGGAGGGTTTCACCGAAGGACCCAGTGGCAGGGTTCACATGCGTCCCACCGACCATTTCGGCACACCCTCACACGCTTCGTTGCCCTATAGGGAGCTCCACTGAAGGCACCAGTGGCAGGGCTGCATGGCGCCACCGCATCAATTTCGGCACACCCCTCACACACTTCGTGGCCCTATGAGGAGCTCCACCGAACGCCCCAGTGGTAGGGCTCGCATGGCGCCACCGCACCAATTTCTGCACACTGCTCGCATGTTTCGTGGCCCCATAGGGAGCTACGCCGAAGGCGGGGCTCACAACTGCAGCACTCACAACTTCACATGGTTGGGTCCATCGCCAGGAGAATTATAGACATTCCAAAAATCGTCCCCAGACTACTTTTCTACCATTCTAGAACATTCCTCCTGTAGAGGGACATGCCAGACTTAAGTGTACATGTCAGGAATGCACTGCATAGGTCAAGAAGCCCGCGACCAGTGATACCTCCATGAGCCTTGCAGTCGGGGAGGAAGTCTGCCGCTGCGTGAGACCCTCAACCACCTGGTGGTCCTCCGCCTGGCTGTCAGAGAACTGGGCGGCAGCGACAGGGCGGTGTGCTTCGATCGCACGCCTCTAAAGGGGCCCAGGGACACACGAAAAATATACAAATCCCAGGATCCCCAATATTTTTAAATATTTTCTGGGTTGTTGTCTCCCCCCCCCACTTCCCATATGTTCCCATATTTTTCCGGGAATCTGCGATCCATTGTGTCTGTGTGATTTTCCCCCTCCTGAGCCTCGTCCGCCGCGGAGACCACGCCCATGAGTAGTGAACCCTAGTCGAACTCAACCGTCGCGCGGCGTTGCCAGAGCCAGGATCGCGCCAGGGCGCGCCCAGCACCGAAGGGGACCGTTTGGGGGGGGCCAGGGGGGGAGACATCGATCCGGAATCGGCGATACATATATATATATATATATATATATATATATATATATATCGCCGATGGAGCGGCGATGTGCCCCCGGTGGCACATCCGGAAATTCATGGGCGGGGCGACGGTGCCCTCGTCAACTGCGAAACATGAATCGGGGCGATGCTTGAGCAGAGACCGACCGTCCCGGCATTCCTATAGTCCTACCACGAAATGTTCTTAGAACCCCAAGATGTTCTAAGAACAAAAACAAAGTTCTTAGAACATAAACCCGATGTGTTAAACATGTTCTAAGAACATTTCGTGCGGACCACAACCAGTTCTTAGAACATTCTTTGGTAGGACAATAGGCGAGCCAGGACGCTTCGCCACTGCTTGAGATGCGTCCCCCCCCCCCCCGAGCCGCCCCCCCCCTTAGCGTTGCCCCTGAGGGCAGCGGGCCCCCCGGACCCCGGAGCCATGCCTTCTTCATCCCGACTCCGTTTCTCACCGCCCCGGGGCCCGTGGAGGGCCCCAAGAATCCAACAGCGGCGCAGAACCTCAGGACCCGTTCTCCTGTCGGGCCGGGCGAAAGGGGGGGATAGCAAGGGGGGGGTTCGAGAATCAGCTCACGGCTCACGTAGCTGATTTTCCTGGCGCCTCCCGGCGCCGGAGGCGGCTATGTATCGAGGAATGGGCCTCTCGGTGGGGCCGAAACCAGCTGCACGCAGCAGATTTCGTAACCCCCCCTTTCCCGATCGCCCCCTTTCGTCCGGCCCGATCCTAAGGACCGGCTCCCCCCATGGCGAAGTTCGACTACACGCAGGAGTGAACCTGGGCAAGTGTGCCCTTGGGTGCGCGGCTTTCGGGGCGCCGCGGGGGGCCGAACCCAAGCGCCGAACCCAAGCGCCGAACCCAAGGCCCGCACGGAGGGGCCACTCGGGCGAAGGGTTAAGTCGGACCTGTCCCCCTACAGGGGGATTTTCGACGAAAAATAAAAGATACCCCAAAGATGCCCCAAAAAGGTAAACAACAAGAAAAAAACAAAAAACAAAACAAAAAAAATCCCCAGACTATGTTTGGACTATTTTTGGCCAATTGTTGGGCTACTTTGGGAATATTTTTAATTTTTCGCCGAAGATCCCCTTGTCGGGGGACACGCCCGACTTGAGCGAAGGGCCACTCTGACGTGCAGCCGAAGTGTACGCAGGCGTCGACCTCCGGGCGGGGCGGCAGCCCCGCGCGGACTGCCCGCGGGCGCCGCCGGGCTGCCCGCGGGGCGCCGCGGCGCCCGCCCGCCGAGGACGAGCCGAGCGCGCGGTGTCCGCGGGGCCGTCGGCGTCGCCGCCGACGGGCTCGCCAGGCCGGCGATCGCCGCGGCTCTCGGTGCTCTCGGCGAGCGCCAGAGGGCGGGGGGAGGTCACCTCTCGGCTGCACGCAGCAGCGACCCCGGGCAAGAGTGGCCTCTTTTGGTGCGCGGCGTCAGGGGGGCCGCGGTAGGGGGGGGGGGGGGGGGGGGGGGGGGGGCAGAGCCAAGCGAAGGCCACTGCTGGGGGGACGCCTGAGGGCCCGCACAAGAATGACGCATGCGACGAGGCCCCCCCCTGCTACCCCCCAGTCCTGGGCAGATCTCGAAGGTCTTCTGGCGGTCGTCGGCGGTCTTCGGCGGTTTCCCCACGGCCTTCAGCGGCCATCGTCGGTCTCGGGAGGCTTCGGCGCGGAAGATGGACAATTGAGGTTACAGCCAATACGCCGAACTAAGGACCGCCTTGGGCTCGGGAAGGGCTCGCTGTTCCTCAGGTCCATCCGTGGTTGTTACGCCTGCCCCCCTCGTCGTGCACCCTGGCGCTGTTGCCCCCCCCCCAAAAAAAAAAACCCGTTCCTTATCTTGGATTCCGTATTTCATAAGGAAATCAACACGTACCGACATTGATACTTTCCCGGGGTGCGATCTGACCAGAATTTCGAGGCGAACCAGGCGGTGGCGACGAGGGCCTCCCAGGAGGCCCAAAAATGAGAACAACGAAAGATAAGGTAGGTATGACGACGACGACGACGACGACGACGACGACGACGACGACGACGACGACGACGACGACGACGACGACGACGACGACGGCAGCGACGACGACGACGACGACGACGACGGCAGCGACGACGAGGAGGAGGAGGAGGAGGAGGAGGAGGAGGAGGAGGAGGAGGAGGGGGACGAAGACGAGGACGAGGACGAGGACGACGGCGAGGGGTCGCCCTTCCGCGACGACGACGACGAGGAGGAGGAGGAGGAGGAGGAGGAGGAGAACGAGGACGGGGAGGAGGAGGAGGGCGGGGAGGACGAGGAGGGAGTAGGACGAGGACGGAGGAGGAGGAGGAGGAGGAGGAGGAGGAGGAGGAGGAGGAGGAGGAGGAGGAGTGGTGTCTCTGGCGTGTCTCTTGGGTTCCTCGTCGCCTCTGTTTCCATCCTGCTCTGTCTCGCCCTTTATCCCTGCATAGGCTTCGACCCTCTTGCCTCAGGAACGAACGAACAAACGAGGAGGAGGAGGAGGAGGAGGAGAGAGGAGGACAAGGAGAGGAGGACAAGGGCGGGGAGGAGGGGGACGAGGAGAGGGGGACGAGGAGGAGGAGGAGGAGGAGGAGGAGGAGAAGGAGGAGGAGGAGGAGGAGGAGGAGGAGGAGGAGGAGGAGTGGGGTGTCTCTGGCGTGTCTCTTGGGTTCCTCGTCGCCTCTGTTTCCATCCTGCTCTGTCTCGCCCTTTATCCCTGCATAGGCTTCGACCCTCTTGCCTCAGGAACGAACGAACGAACGAGGAGGAGGAGGAGGAGGAGGAGGACAAGGAGGAGGAGGACAAGGGCGGGGAGGAGGAGGGGGACGAGGAGGAGGGGGACGAGGAGGAGGAGGAGGAGGAGGACGAGGAGGAGGAGGAGGAGGAAGAAGAGGAGGACGACGACGACGTAGCCGACCTCTGCTGGCCGCCCGAGGGCCCGCGCCCGCCAGTCGGGGAGCTCCGCCGCGGCGGCGAGCTGTCGCCGCTCGCCGCGCCCGCGCCGCCCGCGGCCAGCGGGGCCACGGGGCGCCTGTCGCGGAGGCACGCCCGCGCTGCGGAGTCCGAGAGCAGAGCCGTCGTGCTGCAGCAGGGAAAGCCAGACCCAGCAGGGAGCCAAAGACCCCCTCGGGCAGTGTGAAAATCCTGGCGGGAGGTTTGTCGTCATTTTCGGCAATGAAAAAATCCTGCGGGAGGTCTGTCGAAATGAAAAATTCATGACGTGTTTTTTGTCGTTTCCAGGGGCCCTTACCGGGCCTCGGGAGCGTCAACAAGACGACTGGGGATGAAAAACGGGTCCTGGGGAAGGGGTCGAGACCTCTGAGGGTCGACGTTACGACAGACATCATGACGTCGGGGGTCTCGGAAAGCTGTCAGAGGGAACCCTCAATGAGAAGCGAGGCCCCCTTTCTTCGGCCACAGGCGAGAGTGACCACTGGGCAGGAGTGACCCCTGGCGCGCGGCTTCCTGGGGGGCCGCGGGAAACCCAACTCGGGCGCGCAAGGCGCCACTACCGCATCGCGCTCGGCGATCGGGGGATCCCACTGGGCCCGCACCAGAGGTCCCTCCGGCGAAAGGTCGCTCTGACGTGCAGTCGATATCTCATACGCTAATTTCCGACTTCTCCGAGAAAGCCGAAGGACAACCTCAGGCTTCCAAGACAACTCAGGAACGCTGAGCGACTCCCCGACGCAAAGGGTTCCTTCTTCAGCGGCTCGACTGTACAACATGGAACGCTGGATTTGGGCGACGCGCCCAGGGGGAAGTGAGACGGGGCGGGCCTTCTCAGAAGGCTCCGAAGGCCCCCGGTCCTCCGAGAAGTGCTCTGAGCCTTCCCCGGAGACACCAAGGACACTTCTCGGGAGGCCGGAGAGCTTCTGAGAAGTCCCGCCGCCTTCTGAGGAGGCCCTCTCCTCCTCACTTTCCCCCCCATCGCTCGACGCCGTGGAGAAGAAGAAACTCCCTCGCCCCTGCGGGACTCGGCCACGCACGGGCTCCCCGACCCCGATCTGAGGCGGCCCCCAACGATTTCAACGCCTTGACAATGGTCGGGGTCGGAGGATCCCGCCGCCTCGCCGACGCCGCGCCGAGGCATCGGCGACGCATCGGCGACGCGGCGGCGCCGTGGGCCCGGAGGGCAGCGGGCTCCGCGCGGGGCCGCAGCTCGCTGGTGCTCTCGGCGGGAGGCGCGGCTCCCCGACCGCCCGTCGATGGAAGGATCCGGGCCCTGAGACCCAACACTGCGAACAGTGATGGGCCAATTTTCCAGCACCGCTGCCATGGGCAGGACGGGGGAGAAGGGATGATGGGGAGGTCCTCCTCCTCCTCCTCCTCCTCCTCCTCCTCCTCCTCCTCCTCCTCCTCCTCCTCCTCCTCCCCCTCCCTCTCCTACCCATGGTAGTGGTGGTGGGCAATTTGCCCATCGGACAACCTGCAGCAGCGCAGAACAAAAGCGCAGACGGAGCCCCAAAGCGATGTTCGTTCTCGGGCGCGGACGAAGGGGGGGGGCGATAAATAAGGGGGGGGGACTTGGGCGCGAACTCGTGGGGGGGCCATTAAGTGTGCGGGCGTGGGAGAAAGGCACCGCTTGCGGGCCCGAGGCCCCCTTACAGGGCCCCTTCAATGGCCCTGCGCCCCTGGTCGGTTTTCGGTGCCCTTGGTCGGTGTTCGACACCCTTGGCTGCAGCCCTCGCCCCCCCCCCCACTCCTCGCCCCCCCAATACAAGCCCCCCCCTGCTCTGCTGCATGTTTACAGCCGGATCGATCTCTGATGGCCCCGTGAGGGCGAAACCGCCCAGCGTGGAAGAGTTGCGACACCAAAGATCTCAAAGCACCCCCACTAAAGACCTCTTCTTCTAAGGATCCGGCGATCACCCGGGTCATCGGGCCCGCCCGCCCCGCCTCCCCAGGATCGGCTGACCTTGTCGGCTGCGCAGGTCCGAAGCGGGGTGCGCATCACTGGTGCGCACGGGCATACGGCGGTCTGCCCAACGCGAGAGGGCTAGGCTATCGGCCGGCACCCCCCCTCGACCCACGCCAGCAAACCCAGGCTACACAGCCAAACCCAGGACAGGAAAACATCCCTCAAGAACATGAGACCCATCCGCCGGCACAAATGAAGAGCATTCGAGGGTACCCCCCCAGGATGCACAAGAGTATCCAACACACGCGAAGAGCAGTAGGGTACCCTCTCCGAACCGATCACGATCTTGTTAACCAGCCTCGAACTTATCCCTATCCCTAAGGTGGGCGAGCACAAAGCGAGGACAATATTAGGGATATGCCCTCAGAAACTGAGGGAATCCTTAAGATCGTCATCGAGGTAAGGTGATGTCAAACATAGGGATAGGGATATGTTTCAAACTGGTAACTTGTACCTCTGTCCGACCGCATCGCCGAAACAAAACATCTCAGTGCGACCCTACCTAGGAGTTGGAGCATTTAGGAAAGCAACATCTACATCTACACCGGCAGCTACAGTTTCATCTACACCTGCATCTATGCTATGCTACGCTATGCTGCGCTATGCTATGCTATGCTATGCTATGATGTGCAGAGCTATGCTATGATATGATTGGCTATGCTATCCTATGCTGTGCTGTGCTGCGCTGCGCTATGCTGCGCTGCGCTAAGCTAAGCTAAGGTAAGCTAAGCTACGCTAAACTAAGCTAAGCTAGACTAAGCTAAGCTAAGCTAGGCTAGGCTAAGCTGAGCTACGCTAAGCTAAGCCAAGCTAAGCTAAGCTACGCTAAGATGAGATAAACTAAGCTAAGCTAAGCTAAGATACAGCTAAGCTAAGCTAAGCTGAGATGAGATGAGTTAAGCTAAGCTGAGCCCAGCTAAGCTCAGCTAAGATAAGCTAAGCTAAGCTAAGCTAAGATGAAACAAGCTAAGCTAAGCTAAGCTAAGCTAAGCTAAGCTAAGCTAAGCTAAGCTAAGCTAGGCTAGGCTAGGCTAGGCTAGGCTACGCTCAGCTATGCTAAGCTAAGCTGAGCTAAGCTAAGCTAGGGGAGCCCAGGGGGCGCAACTGGGGGAACCGCGGGGCGGGGACTGGGGGAACCGCCCGGGGCGTTTTACACTGCCCGGCCCTTTTAAGCAAACAAAGTAAGAACCCTCTAGGCAGAGCCTAGGTAGGGAATAATCTCCCATATACAGACCCAACTTTGGAGGCCCAGCGCCTCTGCAGCCCGCTCCTGGGGAAACCGCAAAGCACCGATGTACCGTACCGCTGCTCCCTCGACCTCTCCCGGGGGGCGCTACGACCAGCATCTCAGGCGCATCCAGCGTTGGCGACGGAGGAAGAGGAGGAGGAGGAGGAGGAGGAGGAGGAGGAGGAGGAGGAGGAGGAGGAGGGGGAGGAGGAGGAGGAGGAGGAGGCACAAAAAGGGAAAAACAAGGCACGGGTAGCGGCAGCGGAACCCAAATCTCCGACGTCCGGATGTTGGTCATGACATCGGCTCTCAGAAGGCCTGGAACCACTCCCCGGGACCGTTTTTTTCATCCCGGAGGCCGAAAACAACGAAAACCTCCAGCTGTGACTTTTCTGATCCGAGGACTCAAGGGAGGAAAAGGAAAAGGAGGAGGAGGAGGAGGAGGAGGAGGAGGTGGAGGAGGAGGAGGAGGAAGAGAAGGAGGAGGAGGAGGAGAGGAAGGAGAAGGAGGGGGAGGGGGAGGGCGGAGGAGAGGAGGGAGGAGAGGAGAGGAGGAGGAGGAGGAGGCAGGAGGAGGAGGAGGAGGAGGAGGAGGAGGAGGAGGAGGAGGAGGAGGGGAGAGACGAGGAGGAGAAGAAGGAGGAGGAGGAGGTGCGGAGGAGGAGAAGGGAAGAGGAGGAGGAGGAGGAGGAAGAGGAGGAGGAGAGGAGGAGGAGGAGGAGGAGGAGGGGAAGGAGGAGGAGGAGGAGGAGGAGGAGGAGGAGGAGGAGGAGGAGGAGGAGGAGGAGGAGGAGGAGGGGGGTCTCTGGGTACCTTTGCCTCTCCCGAGCTCCAGCCGTGCAGGGCAAGCTGGGCCTCCTCGTGGTAGCGCCGGCCCCGCAGGTGGCCCACCACGGGGCCGCCGCCGTCCGTCGCCAGCCACGTGGCGTAGCGCGCGTGGGCCTGCCGCCAGGACCCCGCGCGGGCGGCCGCGCAGATCTCCGCGTGCATCTCCTGGCAGGCAAGACGAGCCTTTGGAGTCCCGACACGGGGCGGTGACAGACCGTGCGGTGACCTCGAAATCCCCCAATACCTCACTGCACGGTCCGTCACCGCACGGCCTTGGGACCCCGGAGGCCCCTGTCACCCGAGACACCCTCGGAGAACGACCCGAGTCCAAAAACCGTGCGGTGACCCCGAATCCCCACCGACTCACCGCACAATGTGGTCACCACCTCGTTTGGGGACCCCCAAGAACCCAGGCCCCCTCGGGTGATGAGAAAGTCATGACCGTCTTGTGTGTGTCGCTTTCGGCCCCTGGGGGCCCTCACCGGGTTTTGGGAGCGTCAGAACACGGCTCAGAATGCAGAACTGGTCCAGGGGAAGGGGTCGTAGCCTCTGAGGGTCAACCTTCCGAACAAAATCTCATTTCGTCAGGGGTCTGGGAAGCCAGGGCGAGGCTAACATCGAGTGAGGATGAACATCGAGAATCTCGGAGATGCGGCGGCTCTGGAGGATGCCTCGGGCGCCGCGGCCTTCTCAGAGCGTCCTGCAACGCTCTGAAGGCGTCCCGGAATGCTCTGGAACGGACTTATCCCCATCCTAGCCCCGCCCGGCCAGGCGCTGCCAGACCCAGACATGCGGCGACGTCTTGGCAAGGATCACGGCGGGAGGGTGTTTCGCAGTTCCCAACTATCCTGTGGTGTTGAGTCTTCGTTTTGACAAGACAGCGCCCCGCGTCTCCTCCTCTCCTCCTCCCCCTCCTCCCTCCTCCCATCATCATCATCATCATCATCATCATCATCATCATCATCATCATCATCATCATCATCATCATCCTCCTCATCCTCCTCTTCCTCCTCATCAGCATCAGCATCAGCATCAGCATCATCATATTCAGCAGCATCATCATCATCGCCAATATCATCAGCATAACCATCATACTCATCATCACCATCAACATCATCACTATCATCATAATCATCATCAACATCATCATCATCAGCATCATCAGCATCATCGCCATCATCATCATCATCATCATCATCATCATCATCATCATCAGCATCACCGTCATCACCATAACCAACATCATCAGCATCAGCATCATACTAGTTTTCATTTTCTTCATCAGCATCGCTGTCACCATCACCATAATCGTCATCATCATCATCATCATCATCATCATCATCATCATCATCATCATCATCATCATCATCCTCGCCGTCACCATCACAATCATCGACACACATTTCGGCACACCCTTCACATATTTCGTAGCCCCATACAGTGCAGCACCGAAGGTTCACCCATGTCGGCACACCCCTCACACGCTTCGTGGCCCTATAGGGAGCTTCAGCGAAGGCCCCAGTGCCACCGCCCGCATGCGTCCTCCACATCAACTTCGGCACACCCTCACACGCTTCGTAGCCTAATAGGGAGCGCCACCGAAGGCACCAATGCCACCGCCCGCATGCGTCCGCCACAACCATGTCGTCACACTCCTCACACGCTTCGTTGCCTCATAGAGAGCTCCACCGAAAGCCGTTTCGTGCCCCCATACGGAGCTCCACCGCAGGCCCCAGTGACATCGCCCGCATGCGTCCGCCACACCCATCCCGGCACACCCATCACACGCTTCGTGGCCCCATTGGGAGCTTCACCGAAGACCTCAGTGGCAGGGCCCGCGCGCGCCCGCCACATCCATTTCGGCACACCCATCACACGTTTCCTGCCCCATGGGAAACTCCACGCCCGCATGCCACACCGCTTTCGGCACACCCCTCGTACACTTCGTGGCCCCATAGGGAGCTCCACTGAAGGCCTCAGTGCAATCGCCCGCATGCGTCCGCCACACACCGGTCGGCACTCCCCTCACACGCTTCGTGGCCTCATAGGGAGCTCCACCGAAGGACCCAAAGCCACAGATCGCATGCGACAGCCGCACCCATTTTGGCAAACCCCTCACACGCTTCGTGTCCCCATATGGGGCCTCACCGAAGGCCCCAATGCCACCGCCCGCATGCGTCCGCCACACCTATGTCGGCA